ACCTCACCCAATCAGTAACAATGGCGAAAGTAGTCAAAAAATTTGTGAATGAACTTATACATTTTTATAAATAGTTCGCGTTGTCTAAGTTCATTCACAAATTTTTTGACTACTTTCGCCATTGTTACTGATTGGGTGAGGTTTGTGCATTTGCAGCTGTCAATACGTAATATTGATATCACTTTAATATTAACGCATTCAACGCTGAACTTAGACATTTTTTATAAATAGTTCGCGTTGTTTAAGTTCAACGTTGAATGCGTTAATATTAAAGTGATATTAATATTATGTATTGACAGCTTCAAATGCACAAACCTCACCCAATCGGCAACACTGACAAAAGTAGTCAAAAAATTTGTGAATGAACTTAGACAAGCGCTAACAAGAGACAATAGAATTCGGAAGAAAGAATCGCAGCTGATTAAACAAAGCGACACTAAACCTCGGCAACATCGCCATCATTCTTTACAATAATCGCCACTAAAATCTGTTCTTGAATTTATATATATATGTAACAGTAACAAGAAAAATGCGCTCATGATGTCAATAACCCGAACAGGATATGAAAGAAAAATCATCTTTGTATGCGTGCCTGTATTTATAAAATTTCTTACTGTATCTATCTTAGACGAGGAAGAGTTTTTTGATGATTGAGTTTAATACACTGTGGCAGCTGTTTATCTATCAATCCCAGAGTTCTCGGGATACAATACCGAAATGTGTATTTGTGTGTTTTGTTGGTGTCCGCGGCTTGAGATATTATTTATGCGAAGTGGAAACGGGGAGTTTCAGTTTCCTCTCTTTTTTTTCCTTCTTCCACACCAGTCATCGTTAAGTCAAGATGAAATAATAAAATGTATCAACTTGGAAGAGGTTTTTTTCTTTCTTTTTTCTTGATTATTATTTATTTGACTCGGGCGATAAGAATAAAGAAAAAGTTTTTCTCGCAAATGACATGACGGCATGAGTGTAATGTTTATTTTTAGCAAAGGGAAGATATGATTTCAGTATTGTTAATTTCGCTTTATTTAGATACGACTCTCATATTATATAATAATAAAATAAATTAAACGTTAAATTAAATATGCGAAAATGAAACAAAAATAAAATAGCATAAAATGAAATATTAAATAAAGAAACATAAAATTAATTAACCTAAAATTAAATAACTTAAATTAAAATAGACTAACATAAAAAATCATTCATGAAAGAAACACTAAACATAAACTAAAACATAAAATAATATTGCATAAAATAAATAACATAAAATAAAATAACAAAATAAAATATCACAAAATGAAATATGAAATAAAATAACATAAAATGAAATATTATATAAAGCAACATAAAATAGAATAACATAAAATTAAATAACTTAAATTAAAATAGACTAACGTAAAATAACAGTACTTAAAATAAAATTGTTAATTTCACTTTATTTAGATACGACTCTCATATTATATAATAATAAAATTAAACGTTAAATTAAATTTGCGAAAATGAAACAAAAATAAAATAGCATAAAATGAAATATTAAATAAAGAAACACAAATTTAAATAATCTAAAATTAAATAACTTACTTTGAAATAACTTAAATTAAAATAGACTAACATAAAATGACATTCATGAAAGAAACACTAAACATAAACTAAAACATAAAATAACAGTACTTAAAATAAAATTGTTAATTTCGCTTTATTTCGACTCTCATATTATATAATAATAAAATAAATTAAACGTTAAATTAAATATGCGAAAATGAAAAAAAAAATAAAATAGCATAAAATGAAATATTAAATGAAGAAACATAGAATTAAATAACATAAAAATTAAATATCTTAAATTAAAATAGACTAACATAAAATAATATTCATGAAAGAAACACTAAACATAAAATAACAGTACTTAAAATAAAATTGTTACTTTCGCTTTATTTAGATACGACTCTAACATTATATAATAATAAAATTAATTAAACGTTAAATAAAATATGCGAAAATGAAAGAAAAATAAAATAGCACAAAAAGAAATATTAAATGAAGAAACATAGAATTAAATAACATAAAATTAAATTACTTAAATTAAAATAGAGTAACGTAAAATAACATGACAGAAACATAAACATAAACCAAAACATAAAATAACAGTACTTAAAATAAAATTGTTAATTTCGCTTTATTTAGATACGACTCTCACATTATATAATAATAAAATAAATTAAACGTTAAATTAAATATGCGAAAATGAAACAAAAATAAAATAGCATAAAATGAAATATTAAATAAAGAAACATAAAATTAAATAACCTAAATTGAAAGAGACTGACATAAAATAACGTTCATGAAAGAAACACTAAACATAAACTTAAATATAAAATATTACATAAAATAAATAACATAAAATAAAATAACAAAATAAAATATCATAAAAAGAAATATGAAATAAAATAACGTAAAATTAAATATTACATAAAGAAATATAAAATTAAATAACTTAAATTAAAATAACTTAAATTAAAATAGACTAATATTAAATAACATTTACGAAAGAAAAGCCAAACATAAAATAAAATTGTTAACATAATACATAAAACATAACAGTACATAAAATAAAATTGTTAATTTTGCTTTATTTAGATACGACTCTCATATTATATAATAATATTAAATAACATTACATAAAATAAACAACATAAAATAAAATAACAAAATAAAATATCATAAAATGAAATATGAAATAAAATAACATAAAATGAAACAAAAATAAAACAACGTATATAAAATTAATTAACGAAAGTTAAAATAGAGTAACATAAAATAATAAAACATTTATAAATAAAATTAACTACAAATAAAAAATAAAATTAACTGCATTTCCCTAGTATAAAAAAGGTCCTTTGCCAAACATAATATTTAAAACAAGTTAAATATTATTTATAAAATAAATTAGAACATAAAATAATATAACATAAAATGAAACAAAAATTAACTAACATAAAATAAAATAACACAAAATTAACTAACATAAAATAAAATAGAATAACATATAATGACATTCATAAAAATGATCTGAATAAAATTAACTGCATTTCCCCAAGTATAACAAAGAACCTTTGTCAAAAATTATGTTTAAAGCAATTACATATAATTGACGAACGATTTATAAGGAATACAATTTCAAAAATTAAATTTGAAGAAATAATTAATATGCATCATAATGAGAATTATTATTTTTTTAAGAATGCAATTTCAACAATTAAGCTTAAATAAATTGAATATCATTTACTTAACATAAGGCAGAAAAGCTATACAATAATTTTTACAATTTTGTTATCGATGCTAAAATGACAAACGAAAGACTCAAAAGGAAAATTAATAAATTTATATTTATTTAACAAAAATTATAAATTAAGTTTAAGATTTATTGCGTAATGCGAAAACTAATTAATGAAAAGATCAAGATTAATAAATAAATCTTTGCTTCAATTCATTTAGATACAAATTTAAAACTAAATTTAGATGAACAAAATCTTTTTTTTTGAATAGTAAGGTTAATTAAGAAAACAATTCAACATTAAGAGTTGTCACAAAAATTTAATGCACTGAAAATTATTACAATTGTTCCTTTTAAAAAAAGTTTTACATGAAAATGAGAAGTGTTGGAAATCTTATGATCTATTTGAAATGCTAATCAAACGCTTCTTTGTCTAGGTTCATAAAAATTTGTAAAAAATTCGAGTATTGTTCATTGATATTAGTGTTTTGTTATTTGCAACGATTTTTTTCAGTTACAACCATTTTATTTACAACAACTTGCCAATTTTTTTATTAATAATAATTTTTATATAGTTACGCCTGTGTTTAAAGGCCCAGATAGTTCCGTACGTCACGATAGTATAAATTGTTAACCCTTTAACGCAGATGGAACACCCTTTTATGTAATTTTTTTTTTTTTTTTGGCACTCTGACCATAAGCAAAAATATATTTTGGTATATTTCTTAATTATAAAAAACAGTTGAATAATTACTAAAAAATATTTGTTAGGTTATCAGAATATTTGCAAATTCAAAAAAAGTAGTTTGAAAATTATTTCTTTCATTCATATTCAAAAATTTATCACTAAATGAAGAGGATAATTTAAAATTGAAGACATTTCAATGATGAAAAAACTTTGTCTATGAGATCTAAGAAACTGCAAACAAGTGCAAATTTGAAAAATTTTTGTTTGGAAGTGTTCTAAATACAAGTGTAACATGAGCTTATCCAATTGCACGTGTAACATAGGCTTATCCAATTACACGTGCAACATGGGTTGATGCAATTACAAGTTTAACGTAGCCTATCCAATTGCACTTGCAATATCAGCATATCCAATAATATTTGCTACAATGGTTCATCCAAGTACACGAGCAACATGAATTGAGGAAATTACGAAACTCAGCTTATGTAATTACAAGTACAGCATGGGCTTATCGAATAACATTTGATACATGGGTTCATCCAATTACACTAGCAACATGGGTTGATGCCATTACGAAACACAGCCCCATCTAATTTCAAGTGTAGCATAGGCTTATCCAATTACCAGTGCAACATGGGTTTATACAATTACAAGTTTAAGATAGCTTATCCAATTGCACTCGCAATATGAGCCTATCCAATAACATTTGCTACATTGGTTTATCCAATTACACGAGCAACATGGGTTGATGCCATTACGAAACACAGCCCATCTAATGACAAGTGTAGCATAGGCTTATCCAATTACCAGTGCAACATGGGTTGATGCAATTACAAGTTTAAGATAGCTTATCCAATTGCCCTTGCAATATGAGCTTATCCAATAACATTTGCTACAATGGTTCATCCAATTACACGAGCAACATGGGTTGAGGAAATTACAAAACACAACTTATCTAATTACAAGGGCAGCATAGACTTATCCTATTGTGTGTGCAACATGGGCTTATCCAATTACATGAGTAATAATTTCACTTACCTGACTACATTAGGATGTTCAAATGCTTCTATGTGTTTTAAAAGAGTTATTTCCCTGAGTGTCCCTAAGGGTACCCCTTCTTCAGTGAGGGGCACTCTCACTTTTTTTAAAGCAACGAATTGGCCTTCGTGGGCCAGATCTTTTGCCTTGTACACAGTTCCATAGGCGCCACTTCCTATGAGCGACACTTCTTCGTAATTTTCTGCCGTATCCTGTATGACACCGCCTGGATTAGATCTTAATCCTATAGCAGATCTAGATCCGGATCGAGTTATCATCTGACGCATGGCTGATGTGGGCGTTTTTTTGAGACGAGGCATTGTCCCTGGTACTCCGTGGTGGTCAGTCTTACCACACACTCATTCCCTATTTGGAAAAAAAAGAACAGATAATGAGAAAAAGTTCGGTGTATACTAATACTAAAAAATAAAACATTGTCTAAATCTATTACTTTCATTGTACTATTTGGCAATCACGAGATCTGCCGCCGATATGATTAGAGATGGGTTGGTACCCATTTTCTTGGTATCATCCAAGCAACAACCTTGACCCCAGTTGGGTTCAAAATTGATATGGGTGCTATAAGAATATGCACCGAGGGACCAATATTGGGATATCTAGATTTTTTAATATTGGTCCAAGAATGGCCTATATAGGGCCTACATTGGCCAATATAGAACCTACAACTAAATAATGGATGTAAAATATCAGGTGAATCTGACAATTCTATATAGGACCGATATTGGCAGTAAAATATCGGGTGAATCTGACAATTCTATATTGGACCGCTATTGGTTGTGAAGTGGCTGTAAAATATCGGCTGAATCTGACAATTCTACATAGGACCGACATTGGTTGTGAAGTGGCTGTAAAATATCGGGTGAATCTGACAATTCTATATAGGACCGATATAGGTTGTGAAGTGGCTGTAAAATATCTGGGTAATCGGAAAATTCTATATAGGGCCAATAACGGAAAAATAAAGGCCATTTGAACCCTTACCAAACCAAGTTTCATGAATATTGGCCCAATTAGGACCCAAGTTATTGTGCTGCTAGGGCTGTTGTAAAATAATACCGAATCAACTAAATAACAAATAATGAGAACAATTCCATTTATTGTAAGAATTCCATGTATTCCATAGTATTGTAATGGAATAAAAATGTTGTTTAGTCCATTTTTAGGAATTAAATTGGGGAAAAAAATCTCATTATCTATTAGAATTAATAAACAAAAATCTCACTACTAGTTTCTGCGTTATCTACTTTTTCTAGAGCCTCTGAAGAAATAAAAAAAATTGTAGGACCCTTCGCAATATCTTGCTAGGGCTCTGTAACAATTACATGAATAGAACATGACCTTTTCATTTTTTTCTTGTTTTAAACTGCACAAACATGACTAAAAGAGCCGTGGTAGCTTAGGGGATAGAGCGTTCCAATGAGGTGAACCGTGTTCGAATCCCAACAATGGCTGGCTGATAAGAATTCCACACCCGGCCACACTGCTGTCTTCGTGTTTTCCTCTCCGTGTAACGCAAATGCGGGTTAGTTCCACCAAAAAAGTCCTCCACGAAGGTAAATTTCTTACAATACTTGATCCAGGAGTTCTCTTGTTTTCTGGATTGGGTTCAAAAATTACAAGGCTACGGAGTTGAACATTAGTAGCCGTAAACCCTAAATTGGGTCGGCTGTTCAACAATGGTTATAAAGTAAAACAAATCATGGCTAAAAGGCAGTTTAAACATTATAAAAAAAGTATAAAAATAAACTTTTGATAAAATAATTGAATCACAATTTTTGCCGAGTATTTTAGAACAGGTCTTTGGAAGTAACATGTTATTTTTATAACAACTGCCAACAAAGATAGGAAAAAATCCAGTAGATTTTACGAAATGACGTAAATTTCATAATAATTGTAGCAAAATGTGCTAAACAGGACATAGGGAATTTAAAGGATTTTTATAGTCAACAAAATAGAAAAACTGCAATATTTTCCAGCAATGATTAACAATATACTATGTTTACTCATAATGTTGAATAGTAAATGGCATTTAATTCATCAAAGATGGCTAAAAGATTTTTTAATTAACTTCAAAAGGGAGTTCTGAATAAAAATAAACTCAATATTTCAGGACAAAAGTAAAGTAATTTTCATAAATGAGGCTAATTTCATTATGTATTAGTAATACTTATTTAAATATTCAAGCAAGCAATAATCTGTGAAAAAATCTCATTTCAATAGTAATTTTTTTTAGAAAACTTATTAAATTTTGGGGAATTTTCCAAAAATTACGAAGTTAATGAGAACTTTTATTAAACCAAAACAAATAAAATCCAGTAGAGTTGTCAGCTATGTAACAGGTATGATTCAATAACAGGTACAAAAAATACTAGCTATCAACAGGTACAAAAAATACTAGTTCCAGAAAATACTAGCTATCTTCACTCTGCTATGTGAAGATATAAATAAACTTCAATATGCTTACTACCATCTTTTTTTTTTCCTTTTCTTTCAAAGATTAGACATTTGAAAACAACTTTGTGAAAACAAGAAGATAAGTTTTATACTATTAATGCTAACAAGTTTCATTAAATATCGTTTAGTTGTTCCACAATAAAACGATGAACATGATCACTAAACAGAGGAACATTTTGAGAACGGAAAAAATCAAAATTAAAAATGAAAATTGTATAACGATAAGATTTTTATTTGAATAATGCCAGGTAATCTTTTCCCTCTGATCAACTCAACAAATAAATGTTTTTTTTTTTTTTAAATCTCTCTTCCTGTCATTGTGTACTTAATCGTTGAGTAACTGGATCATAAATATATACAATGTAACAATTTTCTGATTTAAACAACTGCCGTAGTTTAATAAATAAAGAATTCATGTCTTACAAAAAAAACCATATGCATGATTCTTTTAAAAAATAAATCTTTGCAGCTGCGTTGTTATAACCTTCTTTCAGAAAGTCTAGACTTCTTGTAGGAAGCAGACATTTTTTTTTCTTTTTGAAAGGTAGACATTATTTACAGGTACTCTGTACAATGTATTCCTGAAAATTTGTGGTAAAAAATAGAGCACGCAAAATTCCGGTACTTTTTTTTAAAGAATAAATTCAATATTTACCGAACAAATTAACCCAAGCAATGAAAAAAAAAATTGGAAACAGTAGGAGTAAAAGACCATTCAGTCATTGCCAGGATAAACTCAATTGAATCTGACGTACTAACCACTGTACCATCCCGCAAGAAAATCATTAAACAGGATGAGCAGCCAGATTTTTCAACAAAAAATAAGCACCTTTTAAGTACTTTACAAGCATTTAAAAATTATTTTTAATCACTTCCCCCCCAACAAAAAAAAATCAGCATTAAGATCAGCGCAGTAATAAAAATTATTTTTTTCTATCGTTAAAAGTTCTTAATTTATGAACATAAAATCAATAAAATTCAAAATATTTTCAAAAACTTCACTTAATCACGTTAAAATAACTAGTTTCTGATAAATATTGCAGAGAAAATTGTGAAAATCATGCATTTTTTGTAATTTAGAACGACAATCAGCAAAGAAAAAATCTCTTTTTAAAAGATAGAAAATTAAGCACTTATTACAAACCCCGAATAAAAAAAAGCACCTTATAGGGCTTTTAAAAAACGAAAATCAAAAATAAGCACCTTTAAGAACTTTATAAAAACATTACGCACCTTGTTAAATGAAATCAATACGAAATTCAATATTTACAGCAAAAATTTATCGAAGTAAAGAAAAAAAAACGGAAACTGTAGGAATGAAAGACTAGTCAGTCATTGCCAGGCTTTGCCGCAGAGGAATCTGACTAATGATCTAAGGCACAAACCACTGTACCATCCCGTATGAAAGACATCAAGTAAAATCAATTCAATATTTACCGTAAAAGTTTACTGAAGTAAAGAAAAACTGGAAATTGCAGGAAAATATCACTCAGTCATTGCCAGGATAAATATCAAACACCCTGTATCATCCCGTATGAAAGACATCAAATGAAATCAATATGAAAGGTCCTATAGTCGTATAAATTATGTTTAAAAATACAGGTATTTACGTCATAGAGTATGAGAAGAATGTTATTAGAGAGATTTTGCATAGCGTTACGATTTGGAATACGAATATACGAATGGAAGTGGTATTTAAGTATTTCGTTTATGGTTTCTGAGTGGCTGAAGGTTTCAGAGCCTTCATCTTTAATTATTCCTTCGAAGTTGAAATTTCTTATCATTTTATCTTTTAAAATGTCTCCGAAAAAAGATAATTTGATCGATCTTATGGGATCAAAAAAATATATTAAAATATGAAATAAATATATTAAAATATCAAGTAAATGTATCAAAATATCAAATAAATATTAAAATACCAAATAAATACATTAAAAGATCATATAATATTAAAGTATGAAATATTAAAATATGAAATAATAATATTAAAATATCAATGAATAAATTAATATTAAATCGAACACAACAAATATTTTGGGCATTCACAAAGACATTCTCTGACTAAATGATTTCTATTATGATTTCCGACCTATAAAATGTAGAAGGTAGCCGCATTTTGGGAAATATTTGGGAGAGCGGTCAAGATTGGACCTCTTGATGTTAATTTTATTTTTTGCGTCTCCAGATTTTGTTTTTTAAAATTTAATAATAATTTATCTATTTTTTTTACTAATTTTTAATTATTTTATTTAAAAGTAATCGAAAATGTTTTAAATTGTAAGGTGAACACATTCCAGCTGCATTTTGAATCATGTAATTTTATATTGCAAGATTCTAAGCTAGAACGAAATCGGTCGAACAGTTTCTGACAAGTCGTATTTTTAACATTGGACTTTTTTTTATAAATTCTATTCAACCGATTAAGGGTGTTTCGAATTTTTTTTTTGTGTACTGTACATTGCAAAACATAACGTGCGAACTTCAAAATCTGTTCATTAGTCGTTTGTTTGTCACTAAGCAGAAGTCTTAAGTCTAATATTTGTCTAAATATTCATTTCGAACATATATTTAATGATCTTCAAAGTTTAAGGGTACGCTTAGTTTAGCCAATAGATGCAAAGAACACACAGATAAGAAATTTCATATTTCATAACCGTCGTTGAACAACCAAACCAATGTTTTAGGTTTACGACTACTATAATGTTCGACTCCGTAGCCCAGGGGTCCCCAACCCTATGCCCGCGGGCACCATGGCGCCCGTCGATCGATCTATGTGCACCCGCTGCTTGTGCCCAACGATAAAATATTTCAGTTCTCCATTTTCCCAATAAATGCNATTTTTCAAATACCAATTATGTTCAGTAAAAAAACCAAGCACTGCATAAAGTTAA